GAACCTATGATTTCATTAACAAGGAAGCTTTGGTGACCACTGCAAAGCAAAGTATTTTCATTGATGACACCTTAACTGTGTTGGCATATTTTCTCAATGTCTTCTCAAAACTAAATGAACTAAATTTCTGTCTATAGGGTAATTCTTTGAGTGTTCTTAGTTCCCTTGAGAAAATAAAGAAGCTTTAGAGGGAATTTGGTTTGTGTATTAGTTGTATTAAGCCGAGAAAGTTTTACTAGTTAGACATTTTTTTGTATGTATGTGTGTGTGTGTAGGTATCATTATTGGAAAACAATAATTATGCAATAACATACGTCTACACCTCAAAACTTCTGGGTTCGTGATTGTTTCCATTGTGAAATTGTCACTGAATGAGAGGGAACAGTCAGTTGAAATCTCGAATGACACTGGACATAATATGGGATTCCAAGCAGAAGGTATGCTCAATTTGTTGACCTCACTGCCAGTTGTAGCAAAAATGAGGTGATAGAAATGTGTGGTCTAAAAGGAATATAAAAGTAAAGTAACTTACTCCCAAAGGATGACAATTCAAATAATACAAATTAATTAATATTTATTATATCTTGACATCAATTAATTTTGAATCAGTACCAGCATAAATTAAGTAAATATCGCCAGACAGAAGAATATCAGTCCTACCATTTTGAATCCTAACTACTCGTACGAGAAATGCGTAATATTCCAATCAAAGTAAATCTCAATCCATCAACGTAAAGCAAAGTTTCGTGAGAAAAAAAATCAAATTTTTTAACGGCGGAAATTGAGTTAGCTGGTGATTCCAATATATTTTTGAAGAAGCACAAGGGGAATACTTATAAGTACGTGCACATGAAGTCTTTTTGAAGATTTTTAAATTGTAGAACATTATTCATTATCGGCAGATGTTAGGTATAAAGATCTTAAAAAAAAAAAAAAAAAAAAAAAAAAAAAAAACGAAAAAGAACAAAAATGGCACAGGCACGCGTCAGCCGGGGTGAGGCGTCACCACCGGAAAAACAAGGCCTCGTCACTGCGATCGTGACGTCACTAGTAGCGGGTAAAGGAATAAACGGGCTTGCAGCTTCCAGGCAGCGCGAATTTTCTTCAAAAATTAGAAATTTCATTTTTTATTCCCCAAAATAAAATTCTTCAAAAAATTTAAGTTCAGGTGAATTTTCGCTGTATGCATGAATATTTCAAAGGGCATTTAAAAGACTGACACATAATGGTTTCCATACATTTTCCCACCATGTTAGCCAACAAATTCATTTTGTTTTTACTGTAAGAACGACAATATGTACATTATTTTTCCCTTGAATGACAAGAACATCTGCTTTCAACTTTGTTTATATTAGCGCCGTGTAACGAAGTTTGCTTGCTTGCTGTATGTTTTAAAATCTATGGTTAAATCTAAATCAAAATATGCATGTAGATGAAACAAATTCATGTCCTTAGACATAATCATAACAAGAAAAATCTGCAAGCAATAGACCATCTAATGTAAGTTTTACATTATGGTGGTGATGATATGGAAAACTCAGATATTTAATTAGCTATATTTTTTCTGACTAAAATTTAATCATTTTCTTACATGAAATATTATACAGAATAGCAAAAATATATTTTATTGATTTAATTACAACATTTTTTTCTTAAATATTAAAACATATTCAAAATGATGTAGTAATGAAAATTAGAAGCTGTATAAAATTTAATAAATATAAGTTTTGATGTATATTATTTTACACTTAATATTTTATTGACACTGCTATATAGAATAACTAAAGTAACAAGTTTTTAGGGAGTAACGTGAAATTTAAGTAAAACTAGGTTAGCAATATAATAGTAAGTGATGTATTGTGAATAATGTTTGTGTACGGCATTTATTACTTTTGAAACCAATTAAACAAGAAACTTAATTCAGCAAAAGCTAATAAATGAAGTAGTGGTATATTATATATTATAATGCATGAGGAATGCCTTAAATTATTCTCTACCATATAAGTTTAAGCTACATGAGATTAAACAATATTTGAAATAATAATAGAAGGTGATGTATCTTGTGTTATGTTTATTTACATAGCATACCATATAAAATTAATTATATTGAATTCAGAAAGAACTAATAAATTAGAATCTAATAGTGTCAAAGCATTTATAAGTTATTGTCTAGCATATGGAAATGTAAGTTAAATTAGGTTAGCAGTATATGAAATGTAATGGCAAGTGACATATTCATGCACTTTCATTTGTCTACAGAATTTGACACAGCATATAAAATTATTCTGTTGAAACCAATTGAGCAAAAACAAGAGAACCTAGAAAAAGCTAGTGATGGTGTAATGATATACTACAATATAAAAGCATTTATAAGTCAGTTTTCAAGTTATGCAACTAGGAGAAATTATGTTCAATTTCCTTGCGTTTATGATCTTTGAAAATTTGGGTATTTAAAATGTCCCTTGCATTTTAATTATTATCAAACTGTTTCCACATTAAATTTATAAGTTTTAACACTGGTCATAAAAGATTTGTTAACAAATCTATTAAGAATTTTGTTGTTTTTAGCATTGATAAACATTTACAGGAATTATTAGGCTTTCCATAAAATAATTTAAAAGGGCGAGTAAAATTTTGTGCATTATTCATGTGTACAGAACATAGCATATAAAACTGATTTTACTGAAAGCAGTAAAAAAAATTGATTATTTTGAAACCAGCTGAACAGAAATTGAATGGAGAAAAAGCTAATAAATGTATTAATTATTAAAATAAGTTAAAAAAACAATACACAAAATTTTAATAATATTTTATTTAACGCACTGCAGCTTCTCAGAGCAATGAACAATAAATGCACTTTATGTACATGTAATATAGAATGAATTCATAACTGATATTTGCAATAATATATACTCATTTAAAAAAAGCCATTAACAAAGAAAATGGTTTTTTATGGAAAATTTAATTAGCATTAAGACTCACAGTTTGCAGTTTTCGCTTTTTTGTTACAGGCAAGTGATCATTTTTTTTAGTACAATAATTTTTTAAAAAACAATTTGTAGATGTTCTTAAAATTATATTTAATAAAGTGTCATTGGAATGGCCATTATCACAAGTTTCATCGACTAAGAAAAAATCACATTCATCAATAATAGTAGACGATAATTCAATAACAATATTTCTTTGATTATTTTGCTTCAAAAACTTTTTTTTCATTTCTTCGCTTAATAATTTTTGTATTACGACATAATTATAAGTTACTGCAGTAACAACATAGTGTTGAGGGGAAGAGTAATTCATTTCTGTCTAAATTTCGTATAAAATTATAATTTGCACTTAATTTTAGATTTTTGTCAAGGACAATTAATTTAAAGCAGGAATTACATCTGAGTGTTTTTGCAGCCATATATGAGCAATAACCGGATATATAAGTTAAGACTGGTAACACATTTTGAATATTTTGAAAAATCATTTTCAGAAATATTAATATTGAACTCTGAGCATAAGTCTAAAACATTTGAGTTATCATCTGTAACACAGTCTTCTCCAATAACAGTCGATTAAAATGTTCCCACGTGCTACTGATCTCAGACATAAAGGTTGAAAATTTTGCATTCTTAATTTTGATTCACTTTCAAAAATTTGTCTTACTGATATTAGGTATTGAGAGCCAGCAAGCATTGCGATATTTACTAAATCGCTCTTCTATATGCATCTGTCTGTATCTTTCCCTGCAAGGAAATATTTAAATCCTAACTCATGAAAACAAATACTTGGATAATTCCTAATAACCCGATGTGTGGTGTGAGAAACAGCTAAATGCGTTTCTTTTAGTAAAGGTTCCCAGTTGTGGGAGCGTTAGCTTTCCAAACATCTAACCATAACAGAAATCTTTTTAAAAACTTTTCATTCAAAGAATTATTAGGCAATATTGGCATTTGCAATGGATCATTTAAGCCTCTGACCTTTCAAAAGGTGTTTTAACATTGACAATATTCCACCAGTTATAAATTAGTTTTATGAAACTTGGCAGTACTAGCATAATTTAAAATATTATTCTCCTTGCCAATGGTAGAAAGAGCAACAATAACATAATTGTTAAAAATACTGTTAACAAGTTTGACATTTTGTCTCTCCAAGTTTGATGGGTTGAAGGTGATTTTAAGGATAATCCATATGCATATTTTACTAAAGAATTTGACTCAATTTCATAAAGGCTGTTTTAGTGATTTAAATGAGGCAGTGGATAATGGTAATTTCTCAAAATTGTCAAAATCAAGATAATAAAATGCTTGTTCACAATTTTTTGATTCAACCAGTTATTTCTTATACTTTTAAAGATATGAACAGAATTCGATTGATAAAAACAAAGGGATCACTTTTATTACATGGGTTGTTGATAAACAATACTTAACTGGGGTGGGGAAGGGAAAAAAAAAAAGACATTGCTTTTCTGTTTATAGCATTATTATCACTGACAACACACACAACTTTAAACCCTAAACTATGTAAACCAATTATTGTTTTTTCTTTAAAACTGAAAAAAGGTCTTCAGCTTGGATTTCTTTTAATGGGCAGTATATGTAGAACTTCTTTAAATGATGATAATAAACTTTGTATCGTGAATATATATTGCTGTATTTGCAACACTATTACTGTTATATGCTATACCAACAGCATTTTCCTCCCTTTCATTTCCTAGTCTATGTATGGTTTTATGTGTATTTTCATCCACACATTAATGTAATTATAAGGTCTTCTGAATTTCAAGCCATCTGCTTTTTGTTTTATGAAAGATAAGAAGTTTTCATCAGACTGCTCTTTAATGGGATTAGTATTAAATCCAGAAATATTCTGTAAATTGTTCTTGGATGTGGCATAATGATATTGCATGAACTTCTAAAAAATTTATATGCATGGGGAGAAATGGAATATAAAATAACGAAGAAAACATACATATGTGATGAATAACGTATGCGTTCCTTTTACAAATAAGATTGGAAAGTTGTTCTGTAATGAATTCAACAGTTTGTTGTTTATCACTATCATCAGTCTTAACAGTTTTCAATAGAGTAATAGCTGTTTTTATAACATTGGAAAATAAATTTTCATTTTGTGGTTTAGAAATATTCAATACAAAGTCTAAAACTTCAAACAAGCTATTTATATTATTTATTACTTTAGGAAACACTTCGTTATCTATTATTTTTAATTCTGATTTACCGATAAAAACATGACACATTAAATTTTCTGCCACTACTACTGAAGCTTCAATAATCGGTACAGACTCAGTATCAATAATAAGAAAAACAACTTTACCGTCTTTGAAAATAACTGTCCAAGCATCAGGAACATTCTCAGACTTTATGCACGATAAAAATTCAGAAAACGAGTAATAACATTTTTTTCTGTCGTAAATTTCTTTACTGGTTATGCTTGCAGCAAGAGCACTCTGTATATTGTTTCTATCAATTCGAACTCTTCTATCATTGGCACTTTCTCTTGATGTTGAAGATTTACCTGATAAATATTTTGGACAGCCAGACAGCTGTGAAGCCTTGGACGAATTAAATTAATTTTTATTGAAGTTCCTTTTTTCTCATCAAAATGTTCGACAGTTCTTTCAATATCTGATTCGACAAAATGTTTCTCACAAACCTAAAAAGAATGAAAAATTCAGTATTGGGTATCATTGTAGATTCATAAGAAAAATCTTACAAATAATTTAAATGTAAAATGAAAATGCAGATTTCCATTCAGAAATAAATTTTGGAACCTGAAAAATACTAGCTAAAATTCATCTACCTAGTACTTCAAGACATACTCTACACATTATGTACTGGAATGATGTGTATGTATACTGAAATTCAGCTGATATTCTAGAAAGTTTTTGCTTACCTAATATTAACTTAAATATTGTACTTTAAATAATATCTCACTAAATTTCATTACATATTTAAATGCTTTAGAATTAATGACGAACTGTATTATTTGTTGATTTATGTATCAGGATAATTAATTTCAGATTTTATAGAATTCAAATTCAGTTTATAATAACAATATCATATATAGAAGTTTAATTAGTATAAAAAAGCAACAATAAGGCCTAATTTTTGATCGAGAAATAAATCATAAGTTTAAAAAATTGATTGTACGTACCTTAGAATGATTTGATGGGATGAAATTCTGCCGGTGAATTGCACGGAGCCATTTTCTGCGCAACGAATCCGATTTGGGTATAGAAAACATCTGTACTTTTTCAGTGTTTGGATAGTTTCCTCTGCAGTTAGGAACACAACAAGTATAAACCATCCTTCAACAGATTATTAACAAATGAAATATTATTAAATGTTTTATGAAATATAGAGATTTCCCGCTAAAACTACAAGCATGTTTGCACGTTCACGTTACTACCGAAAGGAGCGGTGACGGTTTGTCATGCCTACTAGTCCCTGGCTGACAGACGTCACTCGCAGCCAAGGTTCTTTAATATACTAAGGTTAGGCCAGGAACGGAAAAAGCGTGCCATTGGTTGCTGTAGTGACGTCACCCGGAGACAAGACGCATCGGCCGACGCTCTGCTACATGATTTTCGTAATGGAAGTAATGTAAACTAAAGCAAAATAATTCATTTTAAATGTGGTGATACACCGGAAATACGGGTATATACTTTCCGATAAAGTTTGTATATATACACTCCTGTGCTAAATTAAGAGAATTTGAACAATATGTCGAAATCCTGAAAAACTAATTTACAGATTTTTATGAAATTTGGCATACATATACATTTATAACAGAGAAAGAGGTGACCATTCAAAAGTCATTTTATGTGCACATGATTATCAATAAAGCTCATACTGCAGGGACGTCCAAAATCTGCGTTGGGATATAGAACTGAAAATGAGTCTAATATGGGAATATGATCCTCTAGCACAGCCAAACAGGTGGAGCAGCGTGACGACATACTGGACAAGAAGCAGTTGAGGAGTCCCTGTGGCAGTCGATCCAACTCGTGCAGCAAGGCAGCTTTTAACTCCGGGATGATTTTGGGTGGGGAATGGCGATGTGAAGTTGCACTTCCAAGAGCGTCCCAGATATGTTTTATCATGTAAAGGGGAGAAGATCTGACTCGCCAATACCTACGACGAAAATCCTCGTTTTCCTGGTAATTATCGACCAACTGTGCTTTATGTGGACGAGAGTTGCCGTCCATTAACAAGAACTGAGGGCCAGCTGCGCCTATAAAAATTCGAACATAGGACTACGATCTTCACGCTATACTTCATAGCAGTCAGGGACCTTTGTCAGACAAATGCAGGAGTATGGGGTCGTTCACCACAATACCTGCCCAAACCATTACAACTCTTCCACCGTAATGATCCTTTTCTCTGATGAAGGAAGGATGGTAGCCTATTCCAGGCTGTTTCCAGATGCAGGTACTCCGAGAATCAGGGTTCAGGCTGAAGCTCGATTCATCTGTGAAAAGCACAGTGCTCCGGTGAAGTCTGGTACAAGGCGCATTTTGTCTGCATCATGCTAAACGCGCTCTCTTGTGTGCTGAAGTGAGCGGAAAGCAAACAGTGGTTCTTCTACAATACAGTCCTATCTCATGGAGCCTTCGGGCAACTGTAAGCCATGAAATTCCGGTTCCAGTAACAGCATACAGGTAACGTGAGAGCCGTGAAGCTTCAACAATCCTGTCTAGAGCCGCATTGAAAGTGCCAAATAACGATCCTCATTCGTCGTTGTGCATCTTGGTTGTCCTTGTCCAGGTCTTATCGATATGGATCAGAGCTCTGAAACAGTTTCCACAAATTTCAGACGAAACTGGGTATTACGCTGAACTTTCTAACCCCTGTGTTTAAGACTGGCCTGCCTCCAGTCCACCCACAAGTCTTCATATCATTCCATCATCCATACGTTCGTGACTACATATTTTACACGATACTTTGTAGGGATTTATTTAATTTACTTAACAGTTAAGCAGCTTTCCTACCGCTCTTGCTTTCAACTCACACATTCTTGCCGGAATGAAAATTGACTAGCGGGCATGTATTCAAATTTGGTATGAGAAAGTTAGTACTAATCAACTTAAGATTTAATTACTGAAATGAGATAAAAAATTCTAATTATTTTTAGATAGAATTTTGTTAATTAATGGTTAGTTCTCCTTATGGAAAATCTATTAAGAATGAAATACATTATTATCTACCTATTATGATCAAATTAAAAAAAAACATTATTGCTAAAGTACATTTTAAAGGCAGAACAATATTAATGATAATCTAGTAGCTGTTAATATGAATAAAACAGGAATAAAATTAAACAAACTGATTTATGTATTAATGTATATTTTAGATTAATCAAATTTTTAATGTATAATTTTCATGATAATGGGATAAAAACTAAATATAAAGACTTGACATTATATGGATACAGATACTTTTA